CGTGAAAGGTCTCATCATGAGATTTTGGGTTAAGGTCGTTACAAAGAGTCATGGGTGGCATTCCAAAGTCCTACTCGTCAAGAGGATATATCTCGATAAGTATTCCTTTTACGGAATTCCAACGACTCTAGGCGAAGTCGTCACATAAACACGCAGGGATGATGTATCCCCTAAGCTAATAGATAAACCTTCTTTCTAAGGGTTATTTGAAAATAATTTTTTTTAAAATAAAAGTCCCGCCACGCAGTAAATATATAATGATAAAAAAATAGACAAGAATAAATAAATGCAATAAATAAATAAATAAATAAAGAAAATAACAACCCAAAATAAAACCTAAAACCTAAGGGAAGGCTTCTAAACCTAGAGTTGAAGTCCCCAGCAGAGTCACCAGCTGTTGCCACTGGTTTTTAAATTAAGAGTCGCAACGACTAGTTTTTATCCTAAGGAAGGACATCTAATAGGAAACCCTAATTCGCAAAATAGAGATTCTAAGTTTCAGACTTCTTTAGACGAAAAGAAGGTGTTAAGAACCTTTCATCTACCTTATTCGTAAGGATACTAGGTTTAGGTTTAGGTTTAGGTAAAAAGGGTTTTAATGTTTTATTAGGGGAAAAAGGGGTTTGAATTTTAGTTAGGGGAACTCGCCACGATTTTAGTCGCATGCCTACGTATCCTCTTATGAGGAATCAGAGTCCCAATTCGTAGTTCGTATTGTTTTTATTTTTTAGGGGTTGCAAAAGTATTTTGAATTGCCTCGCATTTTGATCGGGTGTAGAGATAGCAAAATTTTGGAGTAAATGCGCGATTAGCCAAAATATATTTGGAACCCTTTAGCAAAAATTAGTTGTTTAGATTAGTTTATTGCGAAAAATAGATTTAATATTTGTTAGGTATATTTTAATCATATTAATTGCAAAAATTCTTAATTAATGCATGATTAAAATTTTAATGCAATAATATTAATAATGTAGGCATGAGTTTCTAAATAACATAATTATTTAAATATGATAATAAATAGTATTAAGAAAATAAAGTGAAAATAATAATAATTATTATATAAAAGAAGGAAATAATAACAATATATAAAAAATAAGAAAATATAATATATATATATATATATATATATATATATATATATATATATATATATATATATATATATATATATATATATATATATATATATATATATATATATATATATATATATATATATATATATATATATATATATATATATATATATATATATATATATATATATATATATATATATATATATATATATATATATATATATATATATATATATATATATAAATAGAAAATAATTAATTAGTCAGGGGATGCGTTTTATGTTGGGTAGTAAAAAGTGTAGGGTGTGAAAAGTCAGGGCCTGAATTCAAATATTGAATTCATGCCCAATAAGTCTGGGGGTGCGTGGCTGAACTAATGAGTAAAAATAGGTGGTGTTCTTAGAAGCTGGGCCCAAGCTCATATATTAAATTGGGCCCAGAGGTGAGGGGGTATGTTGTTCAAGTTTGTTTAGCAAAATAAGTGAAGGGGAGGTGCAAATACGAATGGGCTTGGCCCATTACATTTTTTGAAGGCTGGAGTGATTGTACGCATGAGGGTGCATGGAGTATACGATGGAATTGGCCTCACGGACGTCCAATGATGATCAAAGGGCTAAATTGAAAAGTACATGCTAATCACTGTAGGCGTGCGTACATCGAATCATTAGAGAATATACAAGTTATTGTTTTCTTTCATTTTTATTACTCATCTTATTTACAACATTCTTCCTTTTCTCTCCCTCTCGAACCAACAACGAACCCTTTCCCTTCTTCAACCCTAACCCTAGAAAATCCCCTGCGGCGGCATTGAAGCCTAAATCGGACCCCTTTCCCACCGTAAATCAACCCCAACAAATCCCCAAATCAACAATCAGAGGAAAAAAATAAAGAGCTAAGTTTACCCCTTCGCGATATCGTTCTCTGAATTCCGAGCTTCCGGATTCCGATACTAACCCGTCTTCTTCTTCTTGTTCGCAGGCTTCGGCGAAGCTTTGAAGGTGGTGGCCGATGATAGCAACAACAACGGTGGCGCGGTCACACAATTAGGGTTTCAGATATTGAAACCCTAATTGCCTCTTCTCTGATCTTCAACAAAGAACGAGATTATCTTGCTTCTTCGCGTTCTTCTTCTCTATTTTTTCCTTCAAATTCTTCTTTTCTTCCTTCGTTATGTATTTCAGATTTGTATTTATAGGGTTCTATCTTTTAGGGCTAATTGCTATTACGAGTTTTAAGCTTAGATTTAGGACTTAAAACATAATCAGGGATTTTGATTTTATTGTAATTGATTGAGATTGATTTAATATTTTAGTATTGTTTTGCTGTAATGTATTTATGGGTTTGGACTTGATTTCTGAAGATTTGATTTGTAAAAAGATTTGTTTAATTTCTACAGTTCCTGTTAATGCCAAAACATGCACAATTTCTGCCTTACAAATTGATACAATATTCGTTAGTAGTTAATCAAACTGGGCCATGCGCTATTTACTAATTGGGCTTTTGAACTGTATTTGAAAAAAAGCGTTTCTGCCCAACCGTTTCAATAACATGTTTTTTTTTTGTACTTTGTATTGGGCCTCGATTTTCCTTTAACTCATTGATCCAACAGATCCTTACCCAAAACAAAAATTCTAAATTATTTATACAATAAACATTTTATTAAATTTACTAATAATTTTTAAAGTAAAATAGAAATATAGTAACAGTAAGAATCAGATAATTTTTTCACAAATGCCCAAATGGGCCATCTTAGAAGCTGTTAATGGGCCTGTAAAATAATTACTCAAGGCAATGTTTGAAATAAAACAGTAAAACAAAACATCAAATGAGCCCAATTCATATCTATTAGGCCTTCAAAATATTTTCCGCACACCCCCTCTTTGCTATTTAATGACCAACGAAAAATGGACCAATATGAATTCTAATGGACTTTAAATTGCAACTTCACCCCCTTTCTCTTACTAAAACAGTAATACCTGCATGGGCCTTAAATAATTTTAATATTCAAATTTCATGGGCCATTGGCCAACATGCTTCGTAAATGGGTCTAAGGGCCTATGGGTATTTCTGATTTAGAAAGCCTCACCCCCTTGAATTAAAATACACCTCCTGGTTGACTTGGATTTAAGAATGAGCCATCAGATATTGCTGAATCATCCTTCTATTTTTAGTCTGGAAAATATGATCGTAAAAGTGGGGCAAATTTCGGGTACGAAAAAGTGTAATATTCTATTGGGTTTATCCTTGTACTAGTTACTGTGATTGTGACTGGTCTATAGACTGCCACTGGGATTAGGGTAGGTCTTTTATCATTGCAGTGATTGGAAATGAGATGACAATTTCTCATTCTAAGAGGTGCCTAGGTAGAAGTTGTAAACTGGGACTGTTTAGCTTTGAACTAATACTATTGATAGTGAATTTCCTTCATGGTTTGGTAGCCCCCAGAGTAGGTGAGTTGCACTGAACTGGGTCAACAATTGATTGTGTGCTTTATCATTCTTCACTTAAAATTCTGCATACAATTCCAGTTTGATATTTCTACTCAGTCTGTCTGCATATATCGTAACATATGTCCTGACATCATGTACAAATGTTGAAAACATCAGTATGAGCATGGTGTGTACCAGCGCCAGAATTTTAGTATATTTTCTAGGGGTGGAGATTCTGTACTCTGAGAAGGGTATAATTTTCATCATCTGAAGTATGAACTTGAGCTTCTGAAGAGATTTGAGCTAACAAATTTCAAGACTGCAACCACACCTGCTGAGACAAATCACAAGATGGATTTGGATGTTGAGGTTGATGATGTAGATGCTACAACTTTCAAACAATTGGTTGGCTCATTAAGTAATTTGAGTAACATCATACCTGACATTTGTTATGCAGTTGGAATTGTGAGTAGATTTATGAACAAACCAAAATGGTCACATTACAAAGTTGCAGTCAGGATTCTGAGATATATAAAGGTAACACTGAAGTATAGAGTGTTGTTCCCTTATAGTGTTAAAACTGATGCAAAGTTGATATGTTATCAGACTCTGATTGGTGTGGAGGTAGAGTTACAGAAAAGTACTACTGGATATTTGTTCAAATATCTAGGAAGTTCCAATTCTTGGTGCTCCAAGAAGCAACATATGGTTTCTTTGTCAACTTGTGAAGCTGAATACATTGCAGGTACTTTAACTGCATGTCAAGCTGTATGGATGATGAATTTGTTGCAGGATCTGAAGATCAAGGTGAGCAAATATGTTAAGTTGATGATTGACAACAAATCAGCTATAAGCCTTGCCAAGAACCCAATCTTGCATGGAAGAAGAAAGCACATTGACATGAAGTTCCATTTTCTAAGAAGTAAAGTTGTCAAGGCTGTACATGTTGAAAAAGACTTGAAAATTACCATCATTAAAAATAATCACAGTGTTAAATTTGAAAGCAGAATTTAAAATACATTGTATTGGAAGAATGTTGAAATTGTGTCCTCGTGCCTTTGGTGCGTCGTTGAAGCCTTTTGATGTTGAATCAAGCCGTTGTGGTATATAGGTGCCACGATTTTCCTGATTTTTTACAGTCTTCTTCGATTATTTTTCATGTTTTGCATTCCATCCCTATCACTACTACAAATAACCTTATTTCACCTCGGTCGCGAAAAGGATATAATCTCGGTTACACGAGCGAGGTAACAAAGGGCGACATGAAAGTCCTATTTACAAAAAAAATAATTTCAAAACTACGCTACTTTTTTTGGAATTTCAAAACTATGCTACTTTTTACCTCGATTTTTAACAATAACCAAGTGGTAAAGTCTTGTTTACAAAAACTAATTTTGACCTATTTTTTTCCATTTTAATCCGTAAAGCAACAAATTTGTTGACAAATTTTAAATTTTCCTCATTAACAACAACAACAATAGCATTAACAAAACTATATAATTAGAATCCTTAAACATGAAATCTTAACAACAAAAACCCTAAATTTCTCACACAAGGATTTGAAGAAGGTTAACCCTGGTAGTTGAAACAACACACTTGGCGTTGTCCCTTCCATGCTCTTCCTCTTTGGAGGAGGCGAACATTCCAACGATTGAGGTATCCTAAATTTCGGATCATACGGTGTTTTGAACTCTTCTATATCATCATCATCATGTTCTTTCATCACAGATTTTGGAATAACGACAACACTCTTCCTCTTTAGAGCAGACGGACATTCCAATGATGGAGGTATTCTATATTTCAGATCGGACAGTGTTTTGAACTCTTCTATGTCATCATCATCTTCTTTCATCAAAATTTTTGGAATAACGATAGTGCTCTTCCTCTTTGAAGCAGTAGGACATTCCAACAGTAGAGTTATCCTAAATTTCAGATGAGACGGGGTTTTGAAATACCTATGCTATCTATGTACAACTATCAAATATGCTAACCTAACAGGATGATATTAAACCGGTTAGTTCTTTAAAAAAAGTTATATTCCCTCACAACATTCTCTAATATAAACATACTCTTAGTGTTACAAAATTAATTAATTTACTTATTTTATAACAATCTAACATATATAACTTATGGAGACTCACATATCAGAGTGACCCATTCAACTCTATAATAAAAATACAACCGAACTAATATTTTAATTAAATTCATTCTAGTTTACAAATTCCCAAACCAATCGATTCAAATGATGTTTTAAAAATAATCCTAACCCAACATAGGAATAACCTTATGCGTTTTCTACATGTGTTACTTTCTTAACTCGTTTTCATAAATTCTTTCTTGTTTTAGAGTTTCATACTTTCTTTCTTTATCAATAGTTTTATTAGGGTTAAAGAAAATATATAAAAAAAAGGAGAATATATGTATGGTATGTATTTTTTTTTCCTGACGCATATTCTTTATCTTTTTGGAAAGTCGATCATTTTTCATATTTTTTCGTTTTTAATTTATTATTTTAATTTTTTACTTCAAAAATCTAAAATAATTTTAGTCTTTTATTAGTTCCATTTAAATTTATATTTTTTTCATCATTATTCAAAAAAATCATAAAAAATATATAGTGAATATTATTTTATTTTAGTTGCAATTTTCATTCAAAAATATCAAAAATATAGTTCATTTGCATTATCTTTTTTTTGTGCATTTTTAATAATAATCTTGGATTAATTTTTAATTTTAATTCAATTTAAAATGAATATTTTAAGTTGAACTATTATTAAAAATAAAATCAATTTTAAAATCTTTTCTTGAGTCATTAAATTCTCTATTTTACTAACATTTTTTTTATAATTAGTATTATAATTGCATTTTTAATTTTAATCATTTTTCTCCATTATTACTAACCATTTTCCATTTATTATTATTATTATTAGTATTATATGTTATTATTTGTTTGTTTTTGTACAAATAAATAAGAAATAGAAGAAATTCAAATGGGGTCCACACAAGAGCTAGCTAGCACACGATTCATTCCAAGGCAAATATACTTCATGATTAGGCAGTACACAGTTTTCACAAGTGAAGTTCACGATTCATTTATATGATATTAATTTTGTTTTACTGTTTCAAGCCCAATCTCATTTACTTTTATTTTTTATTATTTTGTTTTGTAATTGCTAATGTTAATTAATTTTGTTAATTGATCTTATTTAATTAAACTAATATTGATCAATTAGTTTTATTAAATATTTTCAATTAATTTTTGTTTGTGTCATTTTATCATTTAATTGTTTTTTTTATTTGATTTCATCTTTGCACATTTTGGTAGTTTCTAGCTAATTAATCAAATATTCATTTTAGTTAGTTAATTTGATTATTAAAAATTAATTAGTTTTTTTTAATTAATTAGTTTTTTTAATTAATTTTTTTTAAATTTAATTAATTAATTCTATCGATTCTTGATTAACTAAACACTTATTTCATATTTCATTTGTCTATTTATCTTTGATATGTGTTCCTAACCCAGTTTGGCTTGTATTTTTTCTTTATATGAAACCTTTAGATTATTTCTCAATTATCTTGACTTTGTCTGTTTGTTGGGAATTTCGTCTGATACAAGGATTTTTTTCCGATGCTTTGAGCTTTATCCGATGCTTTGAGTTTTATTTGATGCCTTGAGTTTCTCTGATACTATCTGCTTGTGATTTATTTTCATACGATACCTGATATACTCTTGGCTTATTTATTTGCTTGTGACTTTAATTCAAAAAATGCGAATTCTTATTGACTTTATTTGTAAGTGTCGGCTCCTGTTTGGTCAGATCTTCCTTAACTTAGCCTTTAATTTTTTGCTTTCTTGTAGATAGGATATTCTATTCATCTCCTCCCATTCTTCAATTTTCAAAAATTTCTCATCTTCTTTTCAAAACCTTCTTGTTTTCTAAATTCGAATCGCTTTCATAATAAACCTCGACTATATCGAGTGACTTTTCAAACTTCTTTTTTCTTCAAACTTCTCAAAACACTTAATAAATAATGATGAGAATCACACTTCCATGAGTCTTAAGAAGTGGAAAAGGATGAGTAGGTCCATTCCCGAAACTTTTCCTACATTACATTCATAGTCTTTTGTATGGTTCAATTCGCAAATCCTTTTCTCATGTTAACAAAATATTTCAACTCATTCAAACATTTTTATACTCTCATGTACCTTTTCTCCTTTAAAATCTTTTCCAAGATTAGACATGAGTCATTCATAGTCGAGATCTTATATTCCTATCCCTACAGTTGTAAGGATGTCGACTTTTCCACTTGAGTACTAGAGGTATTCTCAAACCCTCCCTCATGTTGATGCATTGTCTCTCTTTCGTATACCTTATTGATGATTAGTTGAAATTTATCTCCTAAAAATTACGACTTGTCTCTTCATTTAAAACCAACCAACACATCAAACTTTTATTCTTTTCTGGCGGAACTACGGTGCTTTGACCAACATCTCCTTGGCTCCCATTTTAAATAATTTTATAAAATAGCAAATACATATATAAATAGCAAGTGAAGCATATATAGTGAAAATATTTAAAATGATTTTAATTATAATTCAAATTAAAAAGATATATTCAACTTGAATTAAAATCAAAATCAAATCAAATCAATTATTAGAATAAGAAGACAATTTTTAAAAGACCAAATTAAATCTAAAATTGAATCTTTGTTAGAAATTCAATTAAAATTGAATATGGTTACAATTTAAAAATCTAAATCAATTTTAAGGACAAAAAATAAAAATTAATTGGACTATAGAATAAAATGACTAAATAATCCAATAATTAAAACTTATGGATTACTAGTAAGATTAACCTTAATCCAAGAAACTTTAACTTAAACAAATTAAAATGCAAATGATAAACTATATATATTTTTGAGTTTTTTTTTGAATTAAAAAGAAATAATGAATCAGAAATATGCAGAGATGTTCGCCTTTTAAAAAAGACAAAGAAAGTGCGTTAGATACGTCAGAGATTGACAGGAAATTGTTGAACTTTACTAGGGATAAAAATAAGAAAGACATCAAAGACATTCAGAAAAGTATTGAATGAACTCCGCTGGGGAAAACATCAAAGATATTCAGAAGAGCATTGAATGATCTTTGGAATAACGTCAGACACATTTAGAAAAGCATTAAACGTACGAGAGACAAATCATCAGCGATATTCAGAAAAGCGTTGAATGGAACTCTGGAACACAACAAAGGCAGTCATCAAAGACATTCAGAAAAGCATTGAATGAACTACAGAAAAAGAACCAGGCATATTCAGAAAAGCATTGAATGTGCGAGAAACAAATTATCAGAGACATTCAGAAAAGCATTGAATGAAACTCTCAAACATATCATCAAAGACATTCAGAAAAGCATTGGATGAACTTTGGAAATCACATCCAGAAAAGCATTGGATGGAAAGGAATCCAAACTCTGGGAACATCAGAGACATCTAGAAAAGCATTAGATGGAAGGAAACCAGGGATATTCAAAAAAGAATTGAATGCAAAAGGAACCTTCAACCCGGAAATACGACAGAGGAATCCATAAAAGTATTGGATGAAAGTAAACACAATATTTAAGAATGGCATTAGATGAAATAGGGGAACAAAATCGAAGACATCCAGAAAAGAATTGGACCGAGTTGTTAACCAAACTCAGAGATAAATTGAAGACATCCAGAAAAATGTTGGATGAAAACAATGATCCTGAAAATATATCTGAAGCATTCACAAAAACAATAATAATAACAATACTAAAGAAAATAAAAGAAGAAAACAATTGGTTAGTAATGTAAACAATAAACTAAAAATAAAGTGCAAATAAGAAATAAAATTTGAATTAAATGAAAATATTTAAAATGATTTTAATTATAATTCAAATTAAAAAGAATATTCAACTTGAATTAAAATCAAAATCAAATAAAATCAATTATTGGAATAAGAAGACAGTTTTTAAAAGAACAAATTAAATCTTAAATTGAATCTTTGTTAGAAATTCAATTAAAATCGAATATGGTTACAATTTAAAAATCTAAATCAATTTTAAGGACAAAAAATCAAAATTAATTGGACTATAGAATAAAATGACTAAATAATCCAATAATTAGAAGTTATGAATTACTAGTAAGATTAACCTTAATCCAAAAAACTTTGACTAAATCAAATTAAAATGCAAATGACAAACTATATATATTTTTGAATTAAAAAGAAATAATGAACTAAAAATATGCAGAGATGATCGTCTTTTCAAAAAGACGAAGAAAGTACGTTATATGAAAGAAAAAAAGTAAGTGACAAAAATGGGGTATGACAATATGTAACACATCAAATTAGGAAAATAACAAGTAAACTGCACATGAAAATAAATATAAAATATCAAATTACTAAAAACAAGTAAATAATCCAATCTAAATTGTACGAGTGTTTAATTCACTCATTCACAAAGATCCTTAAATAAAATAAACCCTGAAATTTAAAAGATTTGAGTAACTAATTATAATAGTAATGAGAGGTTAGTTAACCCTATTTTACCGCAGAAACAATTTCAACTGCGACTTTGCTTCTTTTTTGCCCTAGAAAATTTCTCACACAAGGATTTGAAGAAAGATAACCCTGGTAGTTGAAATAACACACATAGAGTTGTCCCTTCAATGTTCTTCCTCTTTGGAGGAAGAGGACATTCCAACGGTGGAGATATCCTATATTCCGGATCAGACGGTGTTTTGAACTCTTCTATGTCATCATCATCATGTTCTTTCATCACATATTTTGGAATTAAGATAACGATCTTCCTCTTTGGAGCAGGCATACATT